GATGATTATATACCACAAATTCAATGGGAGTAAGTATATTTTTCTAGTTTTATATGTCGATGACATATTGCTTGTTAGCAACGATATAGCTTATTGTACAAAACTAAGAAATTTCTATTAAGGAATTTTGAGATGAAAGATTTTGGTAACGCCTCTTTTATATTAGGAATTCAGATACACCGGGATCATTCTCGAGGTATTCTTGGATTATTACAAAAGTGCTATATTGAAAAGGTACTTAAAAAATATAGCATGCAAGATTGTAAACCAGGTGACTCCCTGTGGCTAAAGGAGACAAATTCTGTTTAAGTCAATGCCCCAAAAATGACTTGGAAATTAAAGAAATATAGAAGATTCCTTATTCTTCAACTATAGGGAGTATGATGTATGCATATGTTTCTATGCGTTCGGATATAGCGTACATTGTTGGGATGCTAGGGAGATTTAAGTAACCTGCGAATGGATCATTGGAAAGCAGCCAAACGGGACATGCGGTATTTACAGAGAACAAAAGACTACATGCTCACATACATGAGATCAGATCAGTTGGAGATCATCGGTTATTCTGATTCCGATTTTGCGGATGCCGATAGTAAGAGATCCACTTCAGACTATATCTACCTACTTGTTGGAGGTGCTATTTCCTGGAAGAGTGCTAAGCAGACACTCGTAGTTATTTCCACCATGGCAGCGGAGTTTGTAGCAAGTTATGAGGTATCAAATCATGGAATATGGCTGAGAAATTTTGTCATTGGGTTGCGCATTGTTGACAGTATAGAAAGACCACTCAAGTTATTTTGTGACAATAAATCAGCAGTGCTATATTTCAATAACAGGAACTCGACGAAGTAAAAACATATAGAGATCAAGTTCTTGACTATTAAAGAAAGAGTTCAGAGTGGATAGATGTTAATAGAGCATATTAGGACAAACTCCATGGTTGCGGATCCGCTTACTAAGGGATTGATACTCAAGGTCTTTCATGAGTACACTACTCATATGGACGTAATATCTCTTGAAGATATCTAGTTTTGGTTGGAGTTTGTATTTCTGTGCTTTTCATTTTTTAAACGTGTACTGTCATTTGGATATGGTTTATGGTTAAAGTTACTTTCGGTTATAAAGTTTTCGGTTTATTATCTTTGAACTTATTTGAAAATGATCTCACTAAGGTATTAAGGTAGACCAGTTGGAAATAGGAATGTTAAGATCACATCACATGTAATTTCCATGCTACACATCTATGTTTGATCCATGTCATTTAGTTATGTCGCTATACGTGACCATGGATGGATTTAGTTATGATAAAAGTAGCGAAAGCCGCTTTGATCCTATGTTGATATGATTGATGGACCGGATTATTTAGGGATACATTCGGTAATGATAGCAAAATTTTTGAGTTCTCATAATGTCATGTTTAATGCACAATTATAAGGTAACACATATAGTCTAAGTGGAAGATTATAAGGATTTTAATCGAACGTGTGGGCTTATATGTGAAATATTTTGTATTAAATTAAATACTATCAATTTTGGTTAACCCCATTTAAAGTGATCTAATAAGGTTTTGGTATTATGGATTTTGAAGCATCTAATTAAGTGTGGGCATTTATGTATAGAAACCAGACTCGTTCCTAATTTCATGATTGGCCGAATTAGGTTAATAGGCCGTTAATGTATATATACGGTTATCATCTCCGGATCATACGTGAATTGTTCATTCTGTTCTAACTCCCATCATCAGAGAAAAATAAAGAACTACATATTGATCTGGAAAACTAAAACCGCATGACTAAATCATTGCATTAACCATGTCTGATTTTTGTACACTTTCACTTCGATTTACATATTCTTGATGATCCAACATGAAAGATTATTGTGACGGTAACAGTTTTCCCAACACCAACAAGTATTGCCCACTTATACACCACTTATTTCTATCTATATATAATTTGAACTCTTCCTAAACACGAAATAAAAAAAGAACCCAAAGGCTATCAGGCTATATAACCTATCTCCATTCTCTAATCATTTGACAGCTCCCAATCCCCACATATCCTAAGAACCACTCATGTGCACATATTTAATTGAGCTTATCATTTCACATCACATCACCTGCTACATAATATGAGGATGTTACCACTTTGTACATATAGCATCATTCAACGAGAAAATGTAATAAGTTAGAAAGTTGGTCTGCTACATTATACATGCACGCACATTGCACGTGTTTGAGGTTTGTGATGACGTTCCTTAAAATTGGATTGATTACTAGTGTATCTTTATTTTAGTGACATGAATTTGCCTAAAATGAATTTCTTCAATTCGGAATCTTCCGTTTTATACTTATTTCCCAATGATTGCCATACTAATTTCGCTGTCTCGATCGAATTATATACGTTGTATAGTGTGTTGTCAAGGCAATTGAGAATGTAGTTCCTACACAAGAAGTCACTATGACTCCATGCATTGAATGCTGCTTTTTTTTAGGATCCGTTTCCTCCTCTTCAACAATTGGAGCATCTTCACTCAAGAATTTTACCAATTCAGAGTTGTGAGATAAAACAACATTTTCTGTTGCCATATCTTAAAATATACTCCCGTGAATTTTTCCTATATCTACCCGTAAGTACTGTTATGGGATACAACAGATGTAGTATTATTTAACATTAACGTTTTAAGATTGTTGGCAAATAATGATATTACCATGCAATAATTTATGAATAAACAGTTGGGCAAAATGCCTACTTGCAAAAATGAACGAAATAAAATGATAATGGCTAAGACAAGAGTTCGACTATTTCTCCTTAAGACGGTAATACCCCGCACTGGTGCGACGGTCTTTTGACACTCGTCTCCCAAGATACAACGACCTCGACTTGTAATAGTAACACTCCAACTTACAAAACCCGACAAACCTACTAATATTTTTGATCTCTCTAAAATTGGATGACTAAAATGCATGAAAATAATATTTGGTACTGAAATACACAATATGGAATAATGCAAACCCGTTTGGAAAGGTAGTTCAACTGTCAACCTCCAGTTTCTAGAAGACACCACGTGTCCCATACAGAAAATTCAGGGAAAAATAAATAATATAAATAAATATATTGTTATTTTAAATAATAATAAAATAATATAATTCAAATATTATTTTACCAAAAAATATAAACCAACTTGACCCAAGCCCAAACTTAAGCAATATAAAGCGGATTATATTATTCTAATTTTTGGGATTGTCATTTTTCAATTTCCCATCAATTTTTATTCCCAATTTATTTCAATTTCAAATGGTTATCTTTTGGTTTTAAATTCTCATTCACCCTAAATTGGTTTTAAGAAAATAAATAAATTACATTAATTTACTCATGGAGTAAAACACACTCGATCAAGGAGGAGCTTGAACACCAANATTACATTAATCTACTCATGGAGTAAAACACACTCGATCAAGGAGGAGCTTGAACACCAAATGTGCACTTTATTATTTTTGTCTTTTCAATCCAGCTGTTCTTGAATCCATTCTCCATATGTTCTACATCAGCTATAGTTTAATTACATGTGGTTACTGCGTTGTTTAAAGATCTAATCTTTCTTCTACTAACTTCCGGACGAGATCCGGGTATTATTCTTCCGAATGATCGCCAGAACTAGAAAGATATGGAGGCAATATGGAACTCGGGCTTGATCAAACATGCACGTTTGTCAAAGATGTTGACCATCCCTCTCTGCGTGGGAACCTAATTCTTTAAATAATAATAATAAACCCCACCCCAGACTACCAGCTTTGAACATATCTGAGTTAAGCTTAAAGAAAGTCAAATGAGCTTTTAAGGACTTTTATTCCAAATATATTTGGATATATTATTTTTACTTGTAAACACTAAGAGGAAGTACTTTTAATATAAATAATTTACTTATTTTCAACATTAATCAAATTATTTGTTAAAAGTAAACTAATAAGTTAATTTTCATGTTCAGACAAACATGAATCTATTCTTTTAAGTAAGGTCGGTGAGTATGCCTGTTACACTATTTTTGTTTCTATCTTACAAGGATAAATTTTATATATTTCACATTAATAATTAGATCCTCCTTGTATCATAGTATTGTTGTTTATGCATCTAGGACTCTTCATCCTTAGCTCTAATAATGCTTTAAATTTTTGGTTTGATTTATTGGTATATATTATATTCTTGCATTGCTCCTTCTACTTCCTATTTGTAGTTGATTAAGTTATCTAACATTTACAATTAATATTTGTGTTATTAGTTATAGCTTGCATATTTTATATTTAACATATGTTTTATGTGCTGAAAAAAAAATAAAAGAATGCAAACTTTGGGACAATAAGTATGCCCAATTAATTGTTGATGAAAGGCGAAACAAAATTTAAAACTATATAAATGCAAATATTACACGATCGAAGGACTATTTACTTTTTGTACGACAAGTACGCTATGATGTTCCACATAAAAATATTTGAAAAAATATAATGTTGTCACAAAGCACGAGCAATGCACATGTTCTTAACCAGTGAACATTTAAAAAAGAGAGAGAGAGACAGAGAGATTTGGTACAAAAATTTGTAGAAATTAATGATAGTTCTTCAAGCAAGCTCAGACTTCAGATTAATTTCGTCAGAAGACTTTAAGTACCACTTTTGGAGGCGCAATGAAGATTTAAATACCTGTAATAAAATTATTTAATAAAAATATTATTAAACACGTTTATTGACTTTCTTATTTATTTATTTGTTTATTTTCAAACTTACCTCTTGATCCCAATTTGTTCTCCATGTCATGAAGCTTAATGCAAATGTCTCTGCGACCACCCCACACAACATCCCAATCCATATGCCCTGTGAATTCAATATTAATTTCAAGAAGTACAACATATATTTTCAAGAATGTCAGGAAAAATGTTGTAAGAACATTGTTTGATATGTTGGATTGACGTGACTTTATGGACATGTTTGATATGGACAATGTCATAAAAGTATAACATACAAATTTTATTGTTTAATCCCGTCATTGTTGCACAATTTGACATGCCATACATGTCATGTAGGATTAAGTAACATTTTTGCAGTTTGTACAATCCCAATGAATCTAGTATAATGAATACTATGTAATTTATGGAATTGAAAATTAAAACAAGTATCCCTCTAATGTAAGATATTTAATTGCAAATGAAGAACTTTTTGAACCAAAATGGAGCAAAATATTACCTTAACTTGAAGATGAGTCAGATATCCAAGTAAAGCTCCAATTGGTATTCCAATTATATAGAAGCAAACAACATTAATAATTGCAACAGTTGTTTGTAAACCTGCTCCAATTGCCACCCCTAATATCAAACAAGTTACAGAACAAGTAAAGAAAACGTTAAAACATTTATGATTAGACTTAACACAATTCAACATTTTGGTGGTACGGAAAAACTGAGAAGAACAGAATATGTAAGAAATTAGAAAAATAGATGACTTACCCGAGAATATAGGAAAGATGCTATTGAGCAACACTGAGAATGCAAGTAGTATAGAAAGATCGGTAACGCTACTTGCAACCTCTTCGTCATTCGTGAACAAGTACCCAATTTTATTTCCGAATACTAAGCAAAGAATCCAAAAGAATAGCCCTATCAATACTGAAGTACTGGTTAAAACTTTAATAGAAAATTTTACAGCCTTCGCATCTCCTCTCCCGAGCTCATTTGCAACACGAACGCTGTTTATCCAGTGAAACAATGAGTAATTGTCACTTACAAAACAGAAATACAATAAGAAATAGGAGTTGTATCATAATATAAGAGAAAAAACTGATATATATACCATGCAGCACCCATCATGCCAAAGCTAATCATTAATTCCCATGCAGTGATATTAAGGCTGCAAGATTAGTTTAATTAGTAGATATCTTGATAGTGTAGCAGAACATGAGAAAAGATTGTGATGTAATCTTACCAAATAGAAAAGGCAGATATGTAAACCTTTGCATTTGGCATGTATCCTGCTAGTAAAACCAGAATGGCAGAGTACCATAACTCTAAGCTGCAAAACAATGAAAGCTATTAACAAGTGGAGACGACGTGGTAGAAGCAATGCTGTAGAAATCTTGCAAATGATTTATATTATGAAGTATAATCAAATCAGTCTCTGAAGAAATATCAGAAAAAGAATTTACCAAACCATAACACCAGAAGATATTGAAATTTTCACCACTGGCAACACGTCCTTGAATGCAGCTGTAGTGAATCCCGTCCATGTATCGGGGCACCAACCGCCAAAGATGTATACAAATTCTCCAACGACAAGAGACCACGAAGATATGCAGAGTGCTCCCATAGCGCCAGAAACACCCCAATTGAGTTTGTAGACAAAAAGCCAAGACAAGGGAATGTGGCTTACAAATTGCATAGTGGATAACCATGCAATTACCATGTTCTTTTGTTGTGCTTGTAGATACATTTGAATCGTTAAAGAAAAAAAGAGACTGTAAACAAATGGGATGAACCACAGAGAAATGTATCCAGCAGATTTCGCTATAGCTTCTTCCTCGCCAAGAAGTTTAAAGATTGGAGTTGCTAAGATAAAAACGGGAAGTAAGATTGTTAGTGTGATGAGATCCACTAGCCATGATCTCTGCAAGAAAATGCCCATCATATGGTACTGTTTTGCTCCAAATGCTTGCCCGCATAGAGTTTCAGTTGCACTTGACATTCCTAACTGTAGAAATAAGTACTATATGAAGTAAATGAAGAAGAAAAAGAGTAAACAACAAAAGTGTGTAAATCAAAACCTTGTCCACTTTACTTTGTAGAATGTTTAAGGAAAAATAGTTTTTGAATCCACGGCTAAGGACAGTCTAAATTAGAGGGTTTCAATATGCCTGCCAATTGAAGTTCGTTCTTCATTGATCTCGAGTTAAACAAGGATTTTTTGATACCCTGGATTAAATTAATTCAATTTGCTTATTATCCTATAGTCAATCCGATAAAATTAAGTGATGGTTGCAATCGTGATCCCAAACCTTACAAATTATTGTAGTTTTTCCCTAATCTTTCATTTTGTGGCAACATTGATTTGGGACCGCAAATGCAACTATTCCTAGAAGTAAGAATAATGTTATCTAACCACATCGATGCTTGGTAACATGTGATAAATTCAATTAAATGCGATATATCTACTTGTATTTAAATGAGTCTGTCATTTAATGTCACACATATTATCACTATACTGGTGTAATGTCATACATGTTGCCACCTAAATTGGTTGTAAAAGTTATTGGGCTTAATCTAAAATCAATGCACTTTTATAAGGATAGATGCTTTCTCATTAAACTTTTTTAAATGAACGCGATCAAATAAGGGGTATGTTTGATTTACATTCTTACAAAAATTCATTTTCAACCACACTATTTTCAATAAAACAATATTACACACAAATCCAAATTTTTTCCTTATTTTTAACCACATATTTTCCATTAAATCACTATTTAAAATACATTATTCACTCAATATGTAAAAAATTAACTTATAAGTAAAAAATGTGCTTATAAATTAAAAAATTACTTACAAAAAAATATTGTCGAATCTTTTTTATTTCTAATACTTGAATATTTTTATAATACAATGTAGAGCCAAATGCGATAACAATATATCATAATCCACCTTAATACTATTTCACTCTAATCGCGTCTTTAATAATCATATCACTCTTACTCCTATCTCCATACCGAGGAGTTAATATGGCCCACATAAAAAAAAATTTAAAAATAAAAATAAAGGGACTCTCTCAGTTACCCTGAAAAGCCGTGTAAATAATAAAACAAATTATTTAAAAATAATAAAAAGAGAGAGAGCCAGCCAAAGAACAGCAAGAAACGGCCATTGGTAAAAGTTGCCAGTAAAGGCTATTGACTTTACCTACAGATTCCTGGCCGGAAAATTTTAAATTTGACCATTTGTGCATACATTTTTACTCAGTTTTTCACTGTTGGAAGCAGCTGTCATTTTTTAATGTAGTTTACCAATCACAGTGATTTAACTTTTATTTTTCATTCCATACAGACAAAAAAAAAATTGTTAATTTTCACAGCAAAACCGATATTGTCGAACGGTGTATGAGAAAAAATCTGTTGATTTTTTAAATTTTTATTTTGTTTATTATTACTACAGAAAGAAGAGACAAATCATATCATGAGAAATTAATCACAGAGGCGGATGAATGTGTTCTTTATAAATAATAAAAAGAAATTCTCAAGAGATAAAAGGATGGAGTTTGTTACCAGTATTCCATTTACGAATCGAACGCTTAAGGTTTGAACGAGTGCATAGCCAGCAAGATCAACAGCACTTATGTGTCCAATAAATGATTGAGTAACAACTACTGTTCCAAATGAAGCCACTCTTGAAATAATACCAGGCAATGCAATCCTCCATATTTTCTTTGATTCTTCTGAAATNCCTCCATATTTTCTTTGATTCTTCAGAAATGCTTCCTTTGAACTCACCCAACTCTTCCTTCTCTGAACTCAGCAGCTTCTCTTTTAAGTCACTGTCCATGGCTATGGAGTTTTTATGGAAAATCAACTCACTGGTATCATCAAATAAAATATGAGAACCATGTATTATTCTGCATGAATGATAATCAATGAAACAAAAAAAACTTACATCTGCAAAGGCTGAAACACTCACGATCACAGACACAGAGGGACGAACAGAAGACTTGAAGTGACCACGTTGGGAGAGAGAGAGGCTAAGCACTTCCTTTCATGCTATTGTTATTTGGAAACTTTCAAGTGTAGTCTCCTTATATTATATATAGACCTTTATATATAGAATGAATAACGTCCGGGTGTTAAGCCCCAGTTTGTCTATCATTAATCCAAAAAATTATTTGCTACAGATTTTTATTTTCTACAGTAAATCAATTCTCATTTTCAACCACACATTCTTCAATAAAATAATATTTTTCATCACATCAATACTTTTTTTTTCTTTTTCAATCACACATTTCCCATCATATCACTATTCAAAAATCAATTCTTTCCCCAAAAATTCCTACCAAACACACTCTTAAAGTAGTCCAAGAAGGTTTCTATATGAACCTAACTGGCAAACCAATCCTCCATATTTTCTTTGATTCTTCTGAAATGCTTCCTTTGAACTCACCCAACTCTTCCTTTTCTGAACTCAGCAGCTTCTCTTTTAAGTCACTGTCCATGGCTATGGAGTTTTTATGGAAAATCAACTCACTGGTATCATCAAATAAAATATGAGCACCATGTATTATTCTGCATGAATGATAATCAATGAAACAAAAAAAACTTACATCTGCAAAGGCTGAAACACTCACGATCACAGACACAGAGGGACGAACAGAAGACTTGAAGTGACCACGCTGGGAGAGAGAGAGGCTAAGCACTTCCTTTCATGCTATTGTTATTTGGAAACTTTCAAGTGTAGTCTCCTTATATATAGACCTTTATATATAGAATGAATAACGTCCGGGTGTTAAGCCCCCGTTTGTCTATCATTAATCCAAAAAATTATTTGCTACAGATTTTCATTTTCTACAATAAATCAATTCTCATTTTCAACCACACATTCTTCAATAAAATAATATTTTTCATCACATCAATACTTTTTTTTTCTTTTTCAATCACACATTTCCCATCATATCACTATTCAAAAATCAATTCTTTCCCCAAAAATTCCTACCAAACACACTCTTAAAGTAGTCCAAGAAGGTTTCTATATGAACCTAACTGGCAAACCAACCCGTTTGTCTATCATTAATCCAAAAAATTATTTGCTACAGATTTTTATTTTCTACAGTAAATCAATTCTCATTTTCAACCACACATTCTTCAATAAAATAATATTTTTCATCACATCAATACTTTTTTTTTCTTTTTCAATCACACATTTCCCATCATATCACTATTCAAAAATCAATTCTTTCCCCAAAAATTCCTACCAAACACACTCTTAAAGTAGTCCAAGAAGGTTTCTATATGAACCTAACTGGCAAACCATCATTAATCACGTGACATGTTGAAAATTAAGCCAGCTTTACGCGTCAATAAATGAGGTAGCAATTGTTGAACGCCAACAATCTGTACAGTTGAATTGAACCATTATTCTTTCATTTCACACAGTGTTCATGTACGTTTAGAAACGAACTTGCACAAAATTCCATTTGAAAAACGCGCGGCTAAATTTATTGGAAAATGGGCGATAAGACCATACCTAATATTGACAGAGAAGGTCAATTTAGGATTAATCTACCTTATAAAATGACGGAAAGGTTGACAGATAAGTATGTGACAGTGAAGAATTGGATAAAAAAAATTGATTATATTTTAACTTGTTCGATAATAACATGTCTGTGACATTATATTAAGAATTATGTCAAGATATCCGGTACTAAAGCATGATCGATTTACATTTATATATGGCCCTCTTTGATCTAGTTAAAAATCTTATCAATAGTATATTTTAATTAAAAAAATGATTAAATGTACCATAAAAATTAATAAAAATTATGAATTCCATAAAATATATAGTTCATATTTGTTTCATTTTAAGACAATACTCTTTAATTCTCATATTTATTTTCAACCATACATTTGCAAATAAGCATTTGTTTTTCTCCCTTTAAAACAAAATTATTTAATTCTCATACTTATTTTTAGCCACACATTCACGCAATTAAATATTTTGAATTTTTCCACTTGTACATCAAGTGGTGTACATCAAAGACTACACCCCCTCACATGGGGCGTGGGGTCCACTCGAATAATACTTTTTTATTCGAGTGGACCCAACCCTCCACGTGAGGGGGGTGTAGTCATTGATGTATACCGTGATGTACCGGTAGCATCACCCAAATATTTTACATGGAAATCCAAAAAATTTTCTTACTTTATAACTACACATTCTCTAAAAATCACTATTTAAGACCCTATTTTTTCCAATATCATATTTTACATATACACCCAAATTTTTCCAAACTTTTTAACCATACATTTTTCCAAAAAAAAAAACAATATTCAAAACTTCATTTTTTAGGTTGGAATTTTCCCCAAAACTAGTGGAACCAAATAGAATCTGTCGGTTCGCCTCCGATTCTTCTACTAAATGGATCGATTTTGGGACCATACATTGAGAACCTATTAGTTCCGGTCCGATTTTCGATACTACCTTGAGAATCAATAGTGAATACGATTCTCTCAAAATTCTCTTTTTGTTTGTACAAAGATACACTAAATCTTTAAATACTATATCTCAAAATTGTCTCACATTAAAATATCATTTTTCATATGCTTCTTCTTCATTCCTTTAAAGGGTAATCAAAATTCAATTCTAAATAATTTTATAAATATTTTAGAAAATCATAGTTTTAATGCAACACAGAAAAATATATTTTTAGTTCAATATTTCATAAGAATTCAAATTTCTTGTTGTTTTCAAAGTGGTCAACCATTAAGAATCAGAATTATTAAAGATAATCAAGCTATTGTTATATGAATTTTTTAAGACTTAATTTTCGATCTAAATTTTACCGTTTGTGTTGTATTTAATAGTTTATCATTTTTTCAACTTTAGATGTTGGTCTTGAACATTGCAGTGGATTTTTGTTTATTGCCTTGTTTAATTAATTTTTTATTTTATACTCTATTTTCATCTATTTTCAATTAACAAGTAATTTTAGGCTTTCACAACCGGGTATGTAACAGCTTCTTCACGTCCTTTTATGAAATTTTTAATATAAAGAATCGGATATGACCGAGTCGCAATTGATTTGTTCGGTCGTAAGTTGGATCTGGAACCAATGGTTCCATTTCTAAAATTTAAATTGGTAATTGATTCGGTTCGATTCCATTCATAACCATACCAAACCAAACATGCCCACTCCTACCATTTTTTTCAAAATAATGGCCATCGAATATGGGCACAATTGAAAATAAGTTTTAAAAAATGGGAGACAAATAAGGAAAATATATGTTAAACTAAATCTCTATTTAGTAGAGATTAGGGCTGTAAGCAAAAACCGCCAAACCGGAAAATCGAACCGAAACCGCAATTTCGAAACCGACGGTTTGGTGCCACGTGGACCCGTCAACGAAATGGTTTTGAACCAAACCAAACCGGTCAAAAACGGTTTGGTTTAGGTTTGAGAATTTTAATTATG